TGGAAAACTGGTACCTCCATAGGACTAGACTGAATTTATATCAATTTGCATTTGGGATAAGATTCCTATGACATATAATTTTGGATGGAAGCTATTTTTTTGTTCTTAGTCTGAACATGAAATACTAGAATTGTAAGTACTTCACAACAAAAAGAACAAGAGGGCAGAGCAGCACCATCACATAGATACATTTCAGTTGGTTTTCACAACCAACTGACTCAAACACATGAAATACATTGTGAAGAACAAATGAACCCATTCAATGGTGATGACTAGAGAACAGGCAAACAGAAGCCATTTTCCTGTCCTGCTCTCGAGACCAGAACATACCAGTTGTTTTTTTGCTACTGTATGGAGAAGACAAAGAGCATACAGCTGTATGGCTCAAGATCCTGACTGCGGAATAAAGATTAAAACATATTTGCACTGATTCTTTTCCTGCTCTGTATTTATTTTTCCTATAAAGGTTTGGAAGCCGCAGTGTAAGGTAAGCAGTTTATTATTGTAAAATAATAAACCAGCAACCAATGACTTCAGCAGTCTTACAGCACAGATTCAGCAAGAACGTTATTGGGACTAAACTTGTGACACAATGCAAGTGGCAGGATGAGTTCAACCAGTGAATCACAGCAAATGCAGTAGTAATTAACTATTACAAAGATGTAAATACTGGACAGCCAGTGGTTATGTTCCTAGATTTTCAGTGTACTTTTGAAAAGTTCTATTAAAAGCAATACCTGACATCAAAATTATTACCTTTAATTTGCAAGTAGGGTTTTTTAATTCTTCTTTGAATATCTGCCACCTAAGTGTTAAAAAATAACCTCTTTATAAACATTTGTCTGTATGAACAAAACCCCTGCCTCCTAAGGAGTTCAACATTTGTGTTCCTGTTACTACCAAGTCACAGACATTATTATATCAGGCAAAAGGAGTTCAGTGTCTTTTGGAGAAATCAGTTGCTTTGGGGTGAAGGGGGTCTCAATAGCAGGTGGGGGGTTTCAGTTTTGTTTTTTTCTCCAAGAATGTTAAGCTGTCTTACTGATTCTGTTCAAGCGCATTGGAACATGTGCACTTGTTTCCCCAGGCACTATAAAGATCACCTTCTGATGTCTCGGGGACCACTACAATTGTATGGACCACCAGCTGAGGAACACTGCCCTATACTAAGAATGTACTAGCAGTGACTCTACATTGAATTTTCTGCTAGTGTTTCTAACAACCCTTTTCTGTACAATTCTCCATTCTGGCTTCACAAGTGTTTTGGAACAGCATGTGAAAAAATCAGGTCACGTCTCTGAAATAAACAGCCCTTTGACAGCTCACCATAGAAACATAATTTCCATTATATTTTTCAAGGAATATTGTAGGTGCTATTCAACTGCCCAGCTCCATTTCCTGCTATTTTGCCAGTCGTTTTCCAAAAGAACTGTACCACAATGCGTTTTCACAAGCTGAACCTCAGCTCTTGCTAAGGTTGAACTGCATCCTACAGCACAAAGAATGATCTGGTTTGTTAACTTGCAGTGCCACCTAGCAAACACCCTTAACATCGTTTTCTTGATGTAGTTTCACAAACGACATTTTAGAGCTTTCAGATCTTAAAAAAGAGCAATTTGTGCTTGCAGCACTTTAAGCATCTGGTGCATTGTTTGGTTTTGAACAGTTAAACTTATTAGAACTGTTCTAATTTGGGATCCTTATCCTACAAATAGGATAGTAATAAAGATGTTCACATAACCAAGATACGTTCTGATACATGAGCATTAAGAACTAGTTTTGGACACATACCTCATACATTTGTCTACAAACAGTTCCAATAATTGTTAAGGATGTTTTTTAAATCATACACTTTGATAGTAGGTCAGTGACGTATTTATTGGAGTTTTGAGAGACTCCTGCCACCAAAATAAGGAAGATTTTAGCCTATCAAGGTACATTAGTACCTTGCATGCAGACGTCTTTTAGACCTTCATGAAAGCCAGACCAATTCGATTTGTCTTCCCTTAAAATAACAACCATATCCCAAGACAAAACAAGCTTAGCTATTTAACTGTGCCTGAACCATGAAGCTATTCTACATACTTACATATCTGACACTAGAATGCAGCAATTCAGAATAAATGCTCAGCCACCCTCTACTACCCCCCAAACCTCTAACAGGAAGCTTTTCCCTGTTTAATTCCTTTGCCAAATTCTACTAAGCCAATTAAAAGAGATTATAACTAAACAAGCAAAAAGCAACCTAAAGACATCAAGAGTGAAGGACAAAGAGAAAAATACACTCTGTTGACTGACCTTATCCTCTCTGACAATACATCTTAGACCAACAACTCTATAAGCTCCCTGAATAAAGCAGCTCATCTTCATTCACAGTGTCAATATGTTCCAAATATTTAGCCAGTACTTTGGCACCAATACAAAATAAGTTTTATTGCTTCTCTTGGAATTTCTAAACAGAGTTCTGCTATTACACTTCCTGGTGATCAGAGAAACCACCACATGTTTTATAGGGTTCAAAAACTAAAGCAAGTCAAAACAAAAGATGTTTCCAATAATAAGAACAGTTCTGGCTTAGTTATGATCCTCTGGTCCTTGATTTTTCAGCGTATCTCCAGAGTCCATCACTACATGAGGACTCTATTTACAGAAAGACTTGTGGATCACTTCAGCAAGCCAAGGGGAGAAGAAGAAATGAGTAACAGCCCGAGTATGTAAAGAATTAAATTTGTACAAGCACCACAGACCCCATCTTTGTCTCAGATGCATGGCACATGCTTTTGTATTTGCTGCGAATTTAATTGCTATCCTAAGCCAAGGAAGAGAACTCATTCCCCCCCCCCCCCGCCCCAAACCCACATTTTGCATACTCCCAAGTTCTTTCCAGATTAACCATCTCTATATTGTATGGCCCAATTAGTTTTGCACAGAACTCTATGCAAAACGAGGAGAGGCATTCCAGATGCTGTACTCCTGTAAGAACTTTGAACCTTAGTCCCTGCAGACTGGCAAGAACGGTTACTCCAGAAAGTCACTGAAATAGAAAAGATCCTTGAAAGTTTGTCTGTGACCAGCCTGACTTGATGCATTTACTTTTTTTGTGAGTTCTGATATCATTCTTATGATTTTGCACCATTTTGATTCATCTTTATCACTGCTTTTGCACAGGGTTCTTGAGATCCTTAATTGTTTACTATTCAGCACAGATTCAGACTGGTTTCATGCTTGAAACTGATACAAGAAATGCAATTATAAATTCGCTACAGAAAGTCCTCCAACCACTGCAGGCTTTAATGTCAGCTCCATTTTCTTACCCAGAATGCGCACGCATCTGCCGCTAAAATGTTGTAACAAAGGAAAAGACTTTACACATGATTTCTATCCACTGGAGGTAGCACCCATTTACAGTTAAAAGGTCTCTCCTTTTTCCCCACGTCCATAGGTTCACCTTGCTTTGAATGGTAAGAAAGGAATCAGTGTTAGGTCAGTTGGGTATGTGATACACTATCCACTGTTGAGCACTGGGAAATGGGGTATTAGAGAATTATTGCTACTGTTACCTTCTCTGTTTCAGTTTGTTCTTGACAAGACAGTAAAGAAATGATAGATGAAAACACAGATCAGACATTTCAGACAAGTCCCTCTGGTTTCTAATTCCCACAAGCTGAAACCCACCAGAAGTCAGATAGTTCTGACTGAAGTGGGCCTCCACAACTGTTTTGAAGCCCTCAACCAATGACTCTCTTACTACGTACCGTGATGCTTAAACTTTAAGTTACAGCCTTCAGTATTTTCACTGTCCCCTAAATTGCAAGAAATATGACTATTTATAAATGCACATAACTGTTTCCTTCAGAAGAGACCAAGATTCTTATCACCAGAACCCATGGCATGTTATAACACAGTAGGCAGTGTGGATGTGCTCAGATTTATTTTACTAAAATATACCTTTTTGACTACTAATTCTAATGATACTATACTTTTTTTTTCCTTTTTTGCCTTTGTGTAATGTGAAGATTAGTCATGACAGATGGTTTTTTCCTCCTCAGGAAGCAAAGGAAATCCATCCCTTAATTAAGAAGATAATTACTATGCTTAAGTGATGAGGACTCAGGCAGCTCTCTGTTGAGAAGCTATTTATTTCTCCTCCTTTTCATTCAGTTTATCTACAAGATCATTTTGGGTATGTGTAGCTCTTGATGCCAGTTGACAAAACAGTGCAGTGCCACTGGCAATATGCACCTACCACAACTAACAGGGAGAACATTTAAGAAATATGTCTTTGTACTTGCAGAAGGGAGGCCGCAGATCTGTTTTTTTCTCTCTCACCTCTTCAATTCATACTATGAGATCTTTCAAGCTCTCACAAAAGTATTTCCTGTATGTTTTACAAACTTTCTGGGCTCAAACTTGATGTCTTATTAACATTTAACTACACTTTCTCTACACAAGTCAGAGAACACATTTTTTTTTGCCAGGCAGCAGGTGAAGGTAAGCAGCTCTGAAAGTTCTTCACAGAACAGCGTTGCTGTATGTGATACTCGCTGCAGCAAGCTCTTCTCTTTCATAAATACACAACACTTCCACAGAAAAAAGATGGTGACCAAACCACCCTGCTCAGCACTGTTTTGGCAATTCCCCATGATGAGCTCAATAGTGCTACTGGTGACCTCAACATTAATTAGTTATTTGGTTTTACTCACTACATGCACTGTTGTGATCTGTTTGGCAGTTAAAGAGAAGGAGTAAAAACTTTCAGCACTTGACTCCTGTGCTTTGTCACTCTGGGTTGTAACTACTAATCAGGACTTGTTCTCAATTATCACACGCACAATTAAGCAGTTATTCCAAGTTTTCACGGTTAAATAACAGCAAAGCAGCACTTTCCATTTCCATGGATATTTTGTATTTTTATAAAAGTAATCAGACAAAACACACATTTTTAAAATACCATTTAAAAAGCAACACAATATTTCTATCTCCTATGTTATCCACGATACAGTTATGACACAGAAAGGTGAAACCCTATGGAATTTACTATGAACATTTGTACTGTTTTTCACCATTTAAATTTCTAATACTGAGGAAATGTTGGGTCAATTTTAGTGGCCCAAGCCATGAGCCCCCCTTTAATATCTTTGGCTAACACAGAAGCAAATTCTTTGACAGTCAACTCCTGCAGAATTCTTACAGCCTTCTGGGAATCGTTTCCCAATTTGCAAATAACATATACAGGAAACGATGTCTGGCCATTAGTTCTCTGCTTTTCTTCACAAATTCTTTTTTCTAAGTGTTCCAGATACTGTTCATCTTTTTCTTCTAATTTACTCAAAGGAATGTGAACAGCGTGTGCCAGGCAACAGATATCCACTTCTACCTGTGGACGAACATCTAGCAATACATGAGGAACTTGCTCATCCAACAGTTTCTTGTATTGCTCTACAGATATCCTGTCTTTACCAGACAGCAGATGTAAAGTCCTACACTTGTCTGTTGCTGAAGAACCACAAAATGCCTCATAATCCTGAAGGCAGGTGACAGATGGATTATCACCGCAAACAACACAGTCTGGTTTCTTTGGTCTTAACTTGATGTTGCGAAATCTCCCTTCTCGGGCATCAAACATCAGCATGAACTGATTGAAAGAGGAACCCATTCCCGAGGCGATCTTCAGCACTTCCAAGGCCTGTATGCACCCCATGATGCCCGGCACAACACCCAGCACTCCCCCATCTGCACAGTTGGTCACTGTCTCTGGTGGAGGGGGCTTGGGGAAGAGACACCTGTAGCAGGGCCCTCCCTGGTAGTTGTACACGACCAGCTGCCCCTCCAGCCGCAGGGCACTGCCAGACACCAGGGGCTTCCCAGCCAGAACACAGGCGTCATTCACCAAGTACCTGGTGGGGACGTTGTCGGAGCAGTCGGCGACGACATCGTACTGCCGGACCAGCTCCAGAGCGGTGCGAGGGCTCAGGGCGCCGCAGTACGGCACGTACTGCACTGTGGAGTTCAGTAGCCGAAGAGCTGCCGCGGCAGATATGGCTTTGGGCAGCCCCCGGCGGGCCTCCCCGTGCAGCACCTGCCGGTGCAGGTTACTCGTCTCCACCACGTCGTGATCCACCAGACCCAGGCGGCCGACGCCAGCCGCCGCCAGGTACTGGGCCAGGGGGCAGCCCAGGCCGCCGCAGCCCACAACGAGCACGGAGGAGCGGGCCAGAAGCAGCTGTCCCCGCACGCCGAGCTCAGGCAGCATCAACTGCCGGCTGTACCGCAGGATGTCGGCGGGGCTCAGAGAGGCCTGGGCAGGCAGCGGGGGGAGCTCGCCGGGAAAGGCGGAGGCATCCTCCTCCGTGTGCGCGGTGTCCCCCGCGGCACCCCCCGCCAGGACGGTGGCCAGCCGGTCCCGCAGGCCGCGCAGCTCCCGCTCCCGCTGGCTGATCTCCGCGCTCAGCCGCTCCGCCTCCGCCATGCCCGCCATACTGAGGGGACAGCGACAAACACGGCTTCCGCTTCCTCCCGGGCACCTCTAGAGCATCGCACTTCCGTCCGCGTCGGGCGCGCCGATTGGCTGCGTGTTGTAGCCGCCGGTTCCGGGTCCGTCAGCACGCCGGCATGGCGGGCGGCGGCCGCGGTGGTGACAAGTTCTCGGTGCTGCTGCCCACGTACAACGAGCGGGAGAACCTGCCCCTCGTCGTGTGGCTGCTGGCGCGCACCTTCCAGGACAGGTACCGCCCGCACCGCGGGGGGGGACGCCCCGGGGCCCTGCGCCAGCCGGGGCCGGGCTGCGGGAGGGACGGTGCTGCTGCCGGAGGGAAGCCCGGAGGCAGCTTTAGCTTTGCACCCGGGGCTCGCACCGGTCGCTGTGGTGAGGCTGCAGCGGGATGTGGCGCTGTTGCGGCTTAAGAGCTGAAACAGTGACCTTGGGTCACGGTTTATCCTGTAAGCGTGATCCTCTGGCTGTAACTACAGCATCCGGCTGTCAGAAAATCACCTTGTATTCGGTTCAGCCCCGTGCCGCCTGCAATGACACGGGCAGTGAAACTGGGTTTGCCATCTGTTCATTTAAAAATAATTCTCATTTCAGCGGAAAGGATTTTGAAATTATCATCATAGATGATGGAAGCCCCGATGGGACACAGGAAATTGCCGAGCAATTGGAAAAAATATATGGATCAGATAAAATAGTGAGTTCTGTACACTCTGCCTTTCATTTTTATCATATCGGAAAGTACTTGAAGTCTGTAGGGAACAGGAACCCTTAGAGAACTCTTGGAGAGAGGCATCTCTGGATTCTGCACTTCCTTTACATCCTTAAACAAGTTATTTTTCCACAGCACTCCGGGCTAATGTAAAGCTACAGATGTTGTGCAGCAGCAGCTTAGCAGTGTCATGGGCTAATATGCAGAATCATGAACTGTTTGCAAATGGTTTTCAGTCCTTTATGTGTTGCTGCGTGCTGTGAATAACGAGTAGTGGTTGTTAGTTGTTACTTTGCGCACAGCTGAGGGACAAATGAGGGCAGGATAAGGTTTAATTTCATTTTACATGACTGCAGGAATAAGGAAATTGGAAAGATAAAAGCTAGTCTGGACTTGTGATTTTTGAATCTGGTTGCACTGCTCAATGACAGGACTTTTTTTCCCCTATTTAATATATTACCGTATAACCGTCAATTACAACAAGATACTGTTATTTCTTTGGTGTTTACAACTTAAAGCCACCTTTTTTTTGGCAGTAAAGGCTTTATCACAGAACAGTGAACCCAACGTTCTGTGCGCTGGTTGTGCTGTATGCAGGGGCACTTTCCTAATCTATTACTGTGTAAATGCATGGGTTTAAAAAGTATCTGTGAATTCAGTACAATTCAGAGATTGCTTTAAGAACAACGTGTATAAGAAGTTTTGGAGTCTGCCTTTTTTTATCCTTTTACTTTCTTTTTTTTATACCAGTAATAGAAAAGTTTCTCACTGCATAAGAGTTTAGTTTTGAAGTTTAAGTTGTGGATCATCCCCTGATGCAGTGTTGAGCTGAGCACAGTTGAGTGTGAATATGTGAAGGCACCACCATCAGCTCACACTGACACCGCTGCAGAAGGGTAAATCTGCTGAGAGGTTTCATTAGATGAATTTTCATTGTTTCCCGATATATATGTATTATTATTTTCCTTTTTTAACCTGAATTTTGTTTCCTGAGCAAAGTCACTGTTCTGATCTGTGCTTAGTTGTCATCATCTAAACAACTTGATGGGGCTTCTTGCTTACTACATTAAGCTTACTGAATGCAGTGTGCTGTTGACTTAATGCGAGGCCAACAGCTTCAAGGAAGTAGATGAGGAAGTAAAGTGATTTTTTTTTTTGAGTTAATGTTCAAACCTAACTATTTATTAAAAAGCAAACAACCAACCCAGAAACCAAAATAACAAATCAGCAGAAGCACTGAGGATTAACTCCTTCATATCTATGTCCATCTCCAAATGGCATTGCTTATGACCGCTCAGATAAGGCATCAGAACTGGCCAAGATTTAAAATATGTTTCAGAAGTATGTTTAGATAACTGTGTAAACATCTACTCTCTCCTCCCCAAATGTTGACTTATATCAATGGCACTTCAGGAAGTTAAATTACTGTCATGATGATCTAGAAATGAGATTCCTCTTTTGTTAGTGGTGGTGACCTCTTTTCCCCCCTCACTTCATAGAGCCCTGCAGGAACTGAGGATATGGGGCCTGGGTTTAAAGCTTGGTCACCCATGTTCTGGGTGATTGATAATGTTGTTATATGGTCATTACTCCTGGGCTATATCCATATGCACACTAAAATCTTGACATTCGTATTCAGTACTGAAAGTGATTACTTTGGGAAACTTGCTAAAATATTTGCTGTTAGTGTCTGTCATCCCTAAAAAGTAACGGTGCTGGGGAAACTGTTCAGATTTATAACCATTTCAGAGAGTGGAATTTGGGGAAATCTTTTAGTTATTGAAATGGCACTTTTAATTTGGGGTTATTTTGTTGATTTTGTTTTTTACTGCAGAATTACTAAATAAATCTTAAGAGGGGTTTGCTTTTAAATATGACCTGATCAAATACTTGTTTAATATAATGATTTGTGTCTCATGTATTTTGACAGATAAATTTATATTAACTAGATTTCTAAAAATCAGGAGTTCATTTTAAGGTATTTTTGTACCTTGAAAATAGCAAATTTAAGGTGTACTAAAATGAATTAAAAAGTGTTCTTCGAGTAATATCTGTATCTTAATATGTTCTGCAGCTTCTGAGACCCAGAGCAAGAAAGTTGGGCCTTGGTAAGTCCTGGTTAACTCCAGTTAGTACTTAAAAAAATAAATCTGCTGTATTCTTTGATTCTAGTATATGAAGCTTGAGTGGGGAAAAATTACAGGAACTGGATGAGCTTTAAGGTCTCCACCAACTCAAACCACTCAAGGATGCTATGAAATTGCATTAAAATTGTAGTATGAAGCCTATTCTGAAATAAAGTGGGGATATTTCCATCTGTTAAGATCTTTATCCCTTCTGCCTTAAAAGAATGGAGCCAATGATAAAATGCAGTTTGTTGTTTGATTTATTGTCAATTGCTATCTGCATTTCTTGCTAAATATCTTGCAGTCCCCCACTGGTGAAACATCTGAGGTGTTCAGTGTTCAGGGTACTGCACCTGATTTCCCCAGTCCACTGAACAAAAATCAAATTCTAATTTTGATACTGAATTTTCTGGTTAAATTTCTTTCTATATTTTATTCCTCTCATTTATCTAAGAAATCCAAAAAGCTTACATGCTGTTATGTGTATGTTTTCTACTTTCTCATCCCATGTCTTAATTTGACCTGTATGCATTAAAATTGACTGAATTTGACTTTTTTGTGTACCATAGCTACCACTTGTGCACAATATACAAATCTGTGACACTTCTATGATATAACTCTGCAAACAAGGGAAAGACAGGGAAGGCAGCTTGTTCACTAACCAGGAGTTTAGTTTTCTCTAGCAGTATCTGCTATGGAAATCAGTTGAGTGTTTTGTGTTCGGTTTTATCTGTTCCTCATGAAGTTAACAGGAAAACTCAAGGGTAATTTGGATAAGTGAGAATAATCTGCCAGTTTTTCATCTCTGTTGTGCTGCTCTACTGTCCGTGGATACAGTGCTGTCTCTGGATGATATGACTGGGATCAGAAATTTGCATTCTTGAGGAAAACTGTAATAGCAGAACTTGTTACAGCTTCTATCCAGATAGCTACACCAGTTCCTTCAGGATGAATAAAACACAACAAAGTCTAAAGAAAGAGAAAAGGGCTGTCTTCATATTAGGTACCAGAATATTATTAATGGTATCAAGAACTAACTAAAATCTATATACAACTACTAGTAAATTCTGAGTCTAGAAATCAGGGGGGTTTTAACTATTGGTGATTATGTTTTTGTCTGTGTCCTATTTCTAGTCTTCTGTGGCTCACAAGTGCCTGTGGCTCTTCTGAAGATGATATTTCAAATAGTGACCCACTTACCAAGTCATGCTTCTCTGTGCAGCTCTAGTGCAGCAGGATTTGCCAATTTTCTATTTATAAAATTTGTTTATAATCTATTTATATCTATAAAATCTAGTGCTGAAACTGGAGGGGAAAGGAAAAGGAATTTTAATGTTTGGTCACCAATACATCATTTTATAATAAATTTTACGAGGTGGTAATTGATCCTTTTCTAGTAGAGATTCTAGAAAATCATTGAAGACTGCGGCTGCACGATTGCACATGTTAAAATAGTGAGGAAAATTCTTTGCTGTTTCATCAGGCACTGCGTATATTCATGGAATGAAGCATGCCACTGGGAATTTCATTATTATTATGGATGCTGACCTCTCTCACCACGTAAGTCTGTATTTTATCTGCTGGTTTTTTAATCTGCTAAAATTAAGTTTTCATTGTTTTTTTTTAACCCCCATTGTTTTATCTTTTCTGATCTGTTTTCTTTCTATTTCAGCCAAAGTTTATTCCAGAGTTTATCAGGTAGGTGCCGATCATAGTATGAGAGAATGACTTCTGAACATTTACTGGTTGGTAGTAGTATTTGAAAGCTTTTATGTTCTTGTGTAGCTGCGGTAAGAAAATTGGCAAGGAAAGAATTTGAATAAAAGTGATTGGCCCTCATTAGATTTGTCCCAGAACAGTCCAGAAAAATAATTAGTTCCTAACTGGAGCAAAAATCCCCAAGTTTAAAGTAACAGAGAGCATATGTGGCTAAGTAGTAGTTCTCTGCCTTGTAATGGCTATGCAGCTTTAAAAAGCATATATAAATGTCATCTTCTGATTCTATTGATTTCATCATGTAAAGATACTGAATAGAGGACCATGTCCTCAGTTATTGGTAAAATACTTCTCATCCTTTTGCTTACGTCCACCTCCCTGTAACATTTCAGTTGGTGAGAAATGGACAAGAGGCATTACATTGGAGTCTAACGGCAGCAGTCTGTAATTATCGACCTTCTTGCCTAATAGGACTGGAGGCCTTACATTTTAGAACAGGTTCTGCAGCAGTCTGGACTAAGGACAGTTCCAGACGTTTTTTTCCTTACTATTGGTTTGTGTAATTTAAATGTTTAAATCTGTATTTAAAATCATTATCTTTTATACTAGAGAGAAGCTTTAAAAGTGCTTATGTCGGTCTTTATAAATTATTCATGAAGTAGTCTGTGAAATTCTGTGGTGTAGTTGGTGAAAGATAATCATGAGATTCCCTGAAATAGGTCTTTATGAGAGAATAATCACCAGGTTTTTAAATGCATGCTGCTATAAGCACCATAAGGATTGCTTTCTTCTCTACTTTTTTGTTCAGAGGTTTGTAAAATACAGATTTTATACTAAAAAGAGTGATTGTTTTTATTTTGTCCAACCTTCATACAAATAATCCTCCTGTTTCTCTGATAAAACCAATTGCTTATAGAAAGCAGAAAGAAGGCAATTTTGATATTGTGTCTGGAACAAGATATAAAGGAAATGGAGGAGTGTATGGCTGGGATTTGAAAAGAAAATTAATCAGGTTGGTATTTTTCTACATATTTACCCATAAATATGTTATTTAGAAACAGTAATTCCAAGGATTCAGCTCAGTCTGTGTGAGCTGAACTGAGTCTTCAGTCAGTAGTACTGGGTACTGTAAAACTATGTTAAGTAATAGAAGCATGAATGGTTTGCAAATTCTATAGTTAAAACCCACCAAGAAGGAATGTAATGACATAACTAAGCTTGAGAAATGGGTTGGAACAGTGAACAAAACCTGCCTGGCGTCAGGTTGGGACAGTCAGCTTCATCATCCAACGAATGACCTGAGACTGTTGTGAGTTTAAGGACACACTTAGTTAGCTTTACCAGCTGTAATTTGTCATCAGTTAAGAATTACCTGGCGTAATCAGTGCTAACAAGTGATTGCTTAGACCTTGCTGGAAAACAGTTACAGAACACTGGGGAGAGGTTTCACCAGCACAAAGAGGAAAGTTCTGTCAAGGTTGTACAAGCATATGGAGGCTGATGTCTCAGGTTTACAGGGGTTTACAGATTCTGAGGAGATAGTTGACAAATTTCTGCATAGTCTTTTGCACCTAATTTAAGAGAATAGGAATAATTTATATGTTACTGTGAAGAATCAGGAGCAGAAGTTGTGTTAGCAGTCTGATCTGGAGCTGATACCACAGGGACTGTGTTTGGGCCTTCTGTTTTTAATGCTGGAATAAGTGCTCATCTTTTTGTGAACGTAAATAAAATCTACACCCAGCAAAAGAGATGAATAGACATTACAGAGGAATCCTTTTACTTCATGCTGGACAAGGTGAAGGACTTACACATCTTATCAGTGTGTAATAGAGTCTTCAGCAAGATAATTGTAACTGGCCTCTCAGTGTTGTGACATTTTTCATCAGTGGAGATCATCCTTATCATGCTATAAGAGCAGCATTACCAAAACTGAACCTTGATTTTTTTAAATCCAAGTCTCACATTTGTCCAGGAAACATTTTTATTCTCCGCCTATGGTGAACGTTAGAAGAAAAATGTTTTGGCTGTTGTCAGATGTATTGTCTCAGTGTGTAGTTGTACCAACAGTTCTGCCAGAAAGAACCACATTGTAAACCTGATTCCTAGAAACCATTTTCTCCTTCACAGTTCAATAATCTACTGATAATCTGTGTTTGAAAAGCAAACATTGGGTTTTCATTTCAACGTTCTGTGATATATTCGTCAAATCTAGAAGTGAAAATATATTAGAAATATAATTGTTTCATTTTCCTTTTTTTTTTTTTTTTTTTTTGCTGGTAGGATGATTTTTGCTTCTTCTCTAGAAATTCCGCTTGATCTTCTGGAGTTGTGCACTGAGCAGTTCTGACATTCATCTTTTCTTTCACAGTCGTGGTGCCAATTTTCTGACTCAGGTTTTGCTGCGACCAGGTGCATCAGACCTAACAGGGAGCTTCAGGTATGGATCTGGTTTCCAATTCATCAAGTTTATTTGAATTTAAGAAACTGCTGAACAAGGAACTGGGGAAGAACAGACCTTCCTTACTGAGGGCTATGAAATCTGTTTGGAAAGGTGTAAGAAATAGACTAGATCACAAGAACTGTTGCTCCTATGACTGTGTTAAAGATTGTTTTTTAAATAGCAGTCATCTGAGTGAATGATTCCAGTTAAAATTCCTATGCACTGTCTTGATTTCTAAAGTTCAGACATTGTGCTTCAGGTTTCTCTTTTCTTTTTGTAATCATTTACAGGTTATACAGAAAAGAAGTCTTAGAGAAGCTAATGGAAAAATGTGTTTCTAAAGGATACGTCTTCCAGATGGAGATGATTGTTCGGGCTAGACAGTTGGGATATACTATTGGAGAGGTATAGTAAAAGTTGTGATAAATACATTGCTTTCATTTCACTGCAGATACAGATTACTGGGAGCGCAGGAAATTTTGTGAGCTTCCAAGAAGCAGCAAGATTATCAAGTTGATCTCTAGTTAGGTCTTTTCAAATCACTTTGTTTTCTCCACCAACCTGACTCTATTTCAGATTTAGTCTGTTCTCCATCATTTATTGCCTTGTTATTTTCAAACTTTCCACTTCTAAACCCTTTGAATGTGCTGTCTAGCATTAGAAAAGAACTCCAAATAACTGTTAGCTGCTCTATCTCCAGCAGTCTAATTACGCCCTTTTATATTTCATTGAATTGCTCTTGCTAGTGTCTTTAAAGATGGTTTCTTTTCTCTGGAATTCTTTGTGAATCTCTGAACCAGTTCCTCCTCATCGTTTTCATGACTGACTTGTCACAGTTCTTTTGGTGGTACTTCTCTCTAAACCTGAACATTTTGCACTTCTCTATCACCATTGGGCAGAGAATTTCCACACAATAAAGCAAGCTCTTTTCTTCCACCTTTCTCACTTATGGAGCAACATCACTATCCTGTTCTTAGCTGAGGTTTGACAGTAGTTTCTTTGGTCTTCCCATCCAGCTGGAGTCATGTACTGCTTTCTAGTATTACTGAATTAAATCCTCACCTATACACCCAGAAACTGAAAACTAGGGCGAGATAGGGTTTATTTACTATACATTTTTGAAATGGTAAAACACAGTTCTCTGGCTTGAAAAAAATCAGTCTTGGGTTGCTTATACCTCTTAAGGCTGCTCCTGCAAAGACCTTTTCTCCGCCTATTATTTGATCCCACCATCGATGTATTTACATGCCTCTACTGATTGCATAGCATCAAATATAAGATGTTTGTCCTCTGGTTCAAGGCCTAACAGTCTTGACTAGGCTTAATGTCTCCCCGTCAGTGCTGGCGCACGTGCTCTGTTTTGTCATGGGAAGGTTACACCATCCTCCGTAATTCATCTGTATATTCTCAAGCATCTCCTTCCCTCTGCCTTTGGATTCTCACATCTGGGAAGAGTTCTCCCTAACATCTGAAAAGTTGCTTCATTGTTCTGCTTTTCCCTTGCCTTTAGGATTGTCTTTGTGAGATCTGTAACAAACACAACAGTATTCAGGTTGCTGACGCATACCTAGCATGACTATTGTATTTTTACTGTTCTGTGTATCATCTCTGTACTGTAGCCTCCTGGAGTAGGAAAGTTTCCATTACATTTCAAGTGCATTGATACAGCATTTCCTGATCATTACATATGATCTTTACAAAGTTTGTAATTATCCAAACCATAATACTAAAATTCCAGCAGAGGTGACACTCACACATCTCATTCCTGGTTTGCAGGTGCTGGAACTTTACACACAGAATAGGGGGTTTATGCAGCTGTAAAATGTAGATACAATTGTGCCAGAAAAATATTTCTTAAGCAAAGTTGAAGATTGAGACCTGACAGTCTAATAGGAACTAGGGGATAATGAGATGAACTGACATGAGCCATACCTCATGTCCTTTAGAGTAATGGTAGAACTTCTTATGCAAGGAAAGCAAAGTCCAGAAGCAACATGGTGGTTAACTCCTATACTGAAGGGCAATACTGACACCTTTTACTAGATGAGATGTTAACCCTTCTTTCATCATGAGTCAGGAAATGTCACTGCAATGATTACATATTCAGTAGTGCCCCATAGATCAGCTGTCTGTACTTGCTTGGGATCATCAAAGGGACTCTACTAATAAAGCCAGAGCCACTGCTGAGTCTGGATGCCTTTTTAGGTATCTTTTTACCATTTTCTTGCCCTGAGTTCTCTTCTACCATTGACTGAGCTAGAGTTGTGAGAAGTCCTCAGCCCTGGCACACACGCAAGGGTGTGGTGGATTTTGTGTCCTGCTTGCCAGATGATCGTGGTTGAAGCTGCCAGCAGAACACTAAGCCAGTTTTCTAATGACTTTTGCAAATGCAGTTCTTTATTCTAGCCCCTGAAGTATTTTAATTCTGCATATAAACATGTATGGAAATTCTTGAATATTCTAATACAGTGTTGGCAGAATGTCCTGTTTATGTCATCTGTATGTGGTGTAATTACTGAAAAGCAGCATTTACACAGTGTTTTATGAGTAGGGAGTTAATCTGGTCAGTATAATCACTTCAGTAAGGAAACCCAAATTAGTGTTTTAAATGCCCTCTAATCCCGTAAATATTCTATAAAATGGTCAAAGAGCAATAAAGACAGGCATTGCTCATAAAATATACACCAGTTGCCGTACCCAGATGTCATCTTCCAGGCAGTGGTGAGGTGCAGAATAGTGTTTCATGGTGGCGGGAAGTTTTTGCCTCCCTGAGGCATTGACTCAAAGGTATTGAATTTCAGTGAAGGAAAGCAGTGAAGGTTCATTTTAAACCCCCAGGCTTTCAGTACACTTAAGCTATTAAGTTTCTTCTGACTGGTGTATCATCCAGCCACTGAGTAATGTCTTTGGATCACCTTTAAAGGTGATAAACCAAATAATTTCATGCTCCCCAGCTAAGGGGCATCATTAAAACCACTGGTAAGAACGGGCACAAAGGAAGCCGATCTGATGTTTGCCTTCTTCCCATGTCTAAACCTGCTGTAGTTCAAAAGCCATTCTTATGTTTACAGTATTTATGATTCTTAAGGTTTTGAACCTTAAAAATAGTTTTGCTTGTTTCAACAGGTTCCTATTTCATTTGTGGACCGTGTCTATGGAGAATCTAAACTGGGAGGCAATGAAATAGTCTCCTTCTTAAAGGGGCTCTTGACCTTGTTTGCCACAACGTGATAGTTTATCCTAAATTAACTTTTTTAGGAAACCCTTTTCTGACATCTGTGTGGTTTTTAGTACATAATAGCAGAAGCTTGATAATTTGTGTGGTGACCGGAAGACCTGCTATAAACTAACAGTTAAACAAACCACCAGTAATGAACTACATATGTTGTATCCCACAATGCTCCTTTCAAAATAAATGAACTGTATGTTAAACTAAAACCTAATAAAGACTAATGCTCTGTTCTATTTTTGTAACAATAATGAAGTCTTAATAAAGAACTAATGATCTTTTGCATTCAGAAATGAATCATTATTCAGCAGAAGCTCAAGATGGTTTTGAAATGAAGACAAGCAAGGACATAAAGAAAATACAGAATTTATCTTCTCTTCGTTCTGTGGTTTGCAGATAGTATTTTAAATATATACCAATTAGTTCCCTTTCCTCAGCACAGAAAGACATGTATCTTAAAGCAGACATAGAACAGTTTCTAGAGCACTAATAAAACTTACGTAGCTTTAGAGGAAACCCAGACGAATACAGTGATTTGTTCTTTGTAAAGCTGTTCCTAGACTGGAAAGAAGGAATATTCTTTGGATAAAAAAGAGAATTGTATGTGTGGAATAATTTTGTATTCTGTGTATTTGTCCTGAATCAGTTGATTCCCTTTCCCCATTTTCTTTAGAATCTAAACATTTTTAGAACCTGTAAAACAGGACTATGGCATCTCACCCAGCTTCAGGGTGAGACCCAGTTCACCTCACTGGATCTGAGATGTTTTTCTTTGGTCAAACAACAATTTGCAATGTGGAATCTCTTTGTTCCAGATCCTGATAAATGAAACACAAATAAGTAATGCTGGGTTTTTTTGTTTCATGTTGTTATATGGATGAAGAACATGTCCCATTTTTGGGGGGTGAGAGTAGTTCTGTGGATATCTGTATCAGAAAATTAATGTTAGGAGAAGTCACAGGTGTTGCTTAAAATCGATGCCTATTTGGCTGGTGTTTGTATTTCTTTAGTACAGTAGATAGAATTTTTAATATTAGAAAAATTAAATAGTCTGTAAATAAATTATAAATTCATATCTCAGTTACTTATCACAGTGACAAAAATGGTTAAATACAACTTTAAAGTGACAGCATGTTTTCTAAGGGACTGCTTTAGACATATTCCTTTCTTTTTTAGTGATATGCTACAGATTCTGTTATTTTTCTCCTTTCCTGACTATTCAGAGCAAACATTAATTTGCCTTAAAATAATATAAAACCTGTAGCTGTAGGTTTTGAATCTACAAATCATTGGATTAGTGACTTAAGTGTACATTTTGTGACGTTTGCCTGTACTTTTCCAGCAGATTACATATAATTTCATTTGGTGCAGGCTAATTAGATTTAATATTCTATACAGAAATAAATCTCTGACTCTAAAGGGCCACTGAAATCCCCAGTGGATAAGTTTCATCTACTTATGTTTCATTATGAGGTTTTGTGGCTAAAATCAACATTTTAGATAGGTACAAAGTTTTTAATGACCCAATAGGGAGTTCTTAGATGTTTATTCAGATTTACATACTACTGAGAACCACTTGCTAGAATACAAATTGAGCCTCAACCAGGTCATATTTTTCTCAGGCTTTTATGTAACTATGTATAACTAAAGTCCATTGTAACAGTTACTCATAAGGTAAGTGCTCTGAGTTAGGGTTTAGCTTTTAGAATGTGCATGCCTGCTTTGTGATTATGCAAATGACCTGGGAAATTTCATTTGCCTATTTATGAGATCATGTTTGGAGGAAGGTGCTTTTACACATAAATTAAGATTATAATACATGGCATGGATTTTGTGTGCTCTGGTGTGTCAAAGCTTGAAACGTGACTGGGCTATATTCCAGTTTTAAGTAAATAGGTGATAGTTCTTATTTGCTTAAAGGGAAATATTTAAGATATGAAGAAAGTATACTATGAAGAAAAAACCAGGGCTTCATGGCATCAGGACACAAGTAGACACTACAACGCTTCTTAAAACAAGAAAAGGTCATAAGCATGAAAATGGTTTCAGTAGCCTGCACCTACCTACTTGTAGAAAGCCCTACTGAAAGGAACATGGATCCAGTGGGAATAAAAAGAATTAAAAATGTCCCTCAACCACCAGCAGGTTGAGGAAGGGGATTCTCCCCCTCTACTGCACTCTTGAGAGACGCCCCCCCCCTGCAGTCCTGCATCCAGCCCTGTGGCAACAACACAATGGAGCTGTTGGAGTGAGTCCACAGAGCTGCTGCGAGGGCTGGAGCAGCTCTGCTCTGGAGCCAGGCTGAGAGAGCTGGGCTGGGGCAGCCTGGAGAAGAGAAGGCTCCTTAAGGGAAGACCTTAGAGCAGCTCCAGTGCCTAAAGGGGCTAACAAGGAAGCTGGAGAGGGGCTTTTGACAAGGGTAGGTAGGGGCAGGACAAGGGGAATGGCTTGAACCTGCCAGAGGAAGGATTTTGATTAGATGCAAGAAAAAAATTCTTCGTGTGAGGGTGGTGAGACACTGGCACAGGGTGCCCAGAGAAGCTGTGGCTGCCCCATCCCTGGCAGTGTTCAAGGCCAGGTTGGATGGGGCTTGGAGCAACCTGCTCTAGTGGAAGGTGTCCCTCCCCATGGCAGGGAGGTTGGAACTGGATTATCTCTAATGTGCCTTCCAACCCAAACCATTCTGTGATTCTATGATCTTTTAAAGCCCTTCCAACCCATTCTGTGATTATGGTATTCTGTCTTTCATATTCCTTGTTTCTCATTTTCCTTTTCCTATTTTTATAGACCCTGCTTATCCCCTCATCATAATTAGTCTTTCTAATTTCCAGACAGAAGCCACACCACACCTTGCTGTTCTGACAGTGTTAGTAGCAGACTATAATAGGATGACAGACAGTTCTACTACAGTCTTTAGGGATCAGGTGCCTAGAACTCCATACAATGTCTTAAATATTCATGTAGTAGAGATTTATCACAGTATCACAGTATGTTAGAGATTGGAAGGGACCTCAAAAGATCATCTAGTCCAATCCCCCTGCCGGAGCAGGAACACCTAGATAAGGTTACAATTTATACAGTGACAGTTTTCAGTTTCTTTCTTAATATCATGACAATACTTGCCTTGTTTTGGCCACCACAAAACACTGACTTGACATTTACAGAGAAATTTCCATTTTATGTCCCTGGTTTTACAGTTCCACATGGAATCAGGTTTTCTCAGTTACATCCATATACATTTCCTAAGAAGGCACAAACAGTTAATGTACTTTCTCTATTATACTTTCTTAGGAGTCTCTGTCAGCAAGCACTCAATCACTTGGCAAGAACAGCAGTTTTAATTCCTTCCTGGCTTAAATCGGTATATATCATGAATACATTTGGTTGGGCATGTTTAATGAAGGGGGGGGAGATTGTAACTCACATTATGCACCAGTAAATTCACTTTCTCCTCAATAGCAAACCAATTGCCTCCACTGGCAGGCAGGCAAGACCCTGGGAGGAGCTTCTTCTGTTGCTATGGGCTAAAGATTTAAGGTGGTGTATGAAAAACCTTACACAGCAGGCTCAGGTGTTCAGACCCATTAGACAGCCAAAGCGTGCGCTGAGCTTCAAGCACACAGTTCTGGAGTTTTGCATGGCGTGTCCCTAGGATTATCCATGGGCTAGGTTTGGTGCTTGCACTCTGGTTTGACCATGCTTCTGGATGCACACCCCAGTCAGAGCTCTGCTGACTGACTTCAGCAGCCCTGTATCAGCATGAAGTGTTTCATCAGACAATCTGAAGCACCAGCTGGGAGGTGAAACACACAATTGGGGGCTACTAAAATAGATACTGCCTCTTGTCCAAGGACTTTGCACTGATGAGCTATACTACATGGCAGGAGGGCTTTGAGCAGCTGAGGTCTCCTCATGCCCCTCACGCTCTCAGATAGCCCTGCCTCAGGGATATGCAGTACAGTTCACACCCTGAGGTATAACTGTCTCTCTTACTCACATGAGGATTTAGGTATGTAATTCATAAAGGCAAGCAGTTTAATCCCCCTGACCTAGATCATAATGATTCTGAAGCTGGAACAACGACTTCAGACAACCAAGGCTTGGTTAATGTAACCAACTGAATGTGAAGCCAGCATCAAAATGAGATCCCCAGTTTATCTTGGTTGAGTTTTGTGGGTAAGGATTTGTCTGATCTGAGGTTGGAGGGAATTAGCTGCAGTTTTGGTTTATGAGGTTTTTTTAAATCTGAGCCTGCAATAAAGATGTACCTAGTTGCCAATATAAGCACTATAATAAAACATATTTTCCAGTGGACTGTGTAGAAAGCCAACTGCAAGGTTGCACAACCTTCTGCATATCAACAGTAAAATATACTGATGACTAATCGATAATATTTATTTAAGGGTCTCTCAAGATTCCAGTATAAACATGGATTGAAATCTTGGCACAATGAAATAAATGACAGATTGCCTACTGAGTTCAGTGCATTGATGACTAGAGCAACAGCTTTTCAGTGGCTAGCATTCCAGAATTCAACATGAGGATCACTATGACCACAGGTATATGCAGATGAGAGGATTGCTTATCAACCTTTATCACTGTTTTATGACACATCACCTGCAAGGTGCCATGCTGAGGAAGACATGAATAAAAGAGGTAATCACAGAGCTTTTGTAAAGCACAGAAACTCTTTTTTACTTCTCTGTTCATGCCACATTTTACCTTCTGGTAGGCACTTGTAACTTATTACAGATTGGGATTATTCCTGTTCATGAGAAAACATACTGGGACTGGAGAGAAGGAACTGGAATTGCAACTTTTAACCAAAAATTCAATTGGAAAACTCCACACTTGAGGGAGAGATTTCACCAAAGAGCAGTGGGCAGAGACCACAGAGTGGAAGGTTATTGCAGCAAGGTTCGTTGCACTGACTTCTCAACAGAAATCGCTATCAATGGTACATCACCATAAAAACCCAAACCACCACCAACAAGCTACCTTATGTTTGGCTCACAAACATCTTTCCTGTTTTGACTTCTGCAAACATGTCACACCCCAGGTGAGCCCAGACAAAACCACAGTTGAGAGCTTGATGTTTCCTGGGAAGCTCATGGGGGCTATCAAGCTCCCAAAATGCTGTGCTCTCAGGAAGTGGAAGATCTGAGCACTAAATTATACTTCTACTTTTGTTCCAGAACAGGAAAGATCTTGACTGAGCTCCTACAATCACTGTTGAGAATGCTTTGGGGACTTCTGACCCACTACATCTATGCAACCACATGGGG